AACTTTGCTGAACAGATTAGTATCTAACATTTTTAAATTCCCAAATTATTTGATGTATTAATATCATAGATTAATACATGTTTTCTCATCAGCCTTTTCTTGTCTTTAAATTCTGTTTAAATTCTACTTGGTTTACAACGCTGGCATGTGAGTGAGGAGGTTAAGAGTGTGGGTTCTGAACCCCGCTCCTGCACTTACTAGCTGTGTGAATTTGTGGCAACTTACTAAACTCTGTGCCTCAGTTTCCTCATCTGTATAATAGAGATGATAACAATAGTACTTAGCATAGAGGAGTTATGGAAACCGAATGAGTTGGTTTGTATAAAGCACATAAACCATGCTGGCTGTGTGGTAAGGATTTAGTAAGTGTTAGCGACTATTTTTATTATATGCCAACCAACTTGCTCGTATCGACTAAATACGTTATCACATATAAAGGCTTTCATGATATTTATTATTATTATTATTAAAACAGAGCCTCTTAGCCTGTTATAAGTGGATCCCACTTTCAACATTTTATTTTTTGAGACAGAGTCTCGCTCTGTTGCCCAGGCTGGAGTGCAGTGGCTCACTGCAACCTCTGCCTTCCTGGTTCAAGTGATTCTTCTGCCTCAACCTCCCAAGTAGCTGGGACTACAGGTGCCCACCACCATGCCGGCTAATTTTTGTTTCTTATTTTCTTTGGTAGAAACAGGGTTTCACCATGTTGCCCAGGCTGGTCTCGAACTCCTGACCTCAAGTGCTCTACCTGCCTTGGCCTCCCAAAGTGCTGGGGTTACAGGCGTGAAATACCATGCCTGGCCACAACATTATTTTTAATAATACTCAAATGTATGATACCATTTCCAGGTGAAACCAGAACTAATCCAAAGGAACAAGCAGTCCATGTGAGAGAATTCTTTTAACTCCTCTTTGCAGAAAAGTCAAACCCCTCTGTAGTAAGAACCATCTATTTCCATTGATCAAAGACAAACTATTAAAAATCCATCATTAACAAAATACTACTAATCCACAGCAATTTATAAACATCCATTTCTGAAAATAAAAGTAGACAAGCAGGGAGACAAAGAGCAGATGCGCTTTGCCTGATCTAAGGAAAGGTGACTAACATGGCTTAATTTGCTCTGATTTAAGGGAAAAAAAAAGGTTTCAAAACCAGCAGACCATGTCATAACAAGGAATATTTTGTGTCCTGGAGAGATTTAGTGATGGGCTGATATCAAGACATTACCTACTTTTCTTATGATAGGTCTGCCCCTGAATAATAGTTTGATTTATTGACAAGAGGATGATCCAAAACTGATAACATTTTCTGCCTCTGCCATCGGAAAGATAATGTCAATCCAATCCAAAGGAAGAACCTGCAGGACTAAAAGCTGTAGTATTTCTCCCCAGATACAGTGTATAAAATATAACATTCATTTTTAAGTGGATTTCTGTTAAAGGTGTTTATTACTCTGAAACCTTGTCAGTGTATTTGCAATGAGCTTAACTAAGCATTTGGGTTTTTAAAAAAATTTCAAAAAGTTTTTACTGTCATCTTCACTTGCTATTAAAAAGATAGTAAGTTTCTGGTCTTCTCCTTGGGTAGTTTTTAATTTTCTTCATAAACATAAAATCGAACTATTAGAAAGAATATTTCTCAAAATTGTTAAGGCAAGAGTCATTTAGTAAATTATTGGGAATGGAGGGGGGGGGGTTTCAGTGATTTGTCTGTCTTAGATGCTTTCACTTTTAGAATCGTTGTTGTATTCATTCTCTACTGTTAGGTAACAAATTACTTTACACTTAATAGCTTTAAGCAACAAATATTATCTCACATATTTTTTGAGAGTCAGGATTCCAGTAATGGTTTAGCCAAGTGGTTCTGGCTGAAGGTCTTTCAAAAGAGTATAGTCAAGAGGCAAGCTGGGGCTGCAGGCATCTGAAGGCTGGACTGGGGTCAGAGGATCCACTGCTAAGATCACTAAGGTTCCTCTTGGCAGGAGGCTTCACTCAGTTCTTCAGCAGCTTTGGGAAGCCTCAGTTATTTTGCCACATGGGCCTCCACGGGGCCACTCACAACAAGGCAGCTGGTGTTGCCCATGCAAGCGATCCAAGGCAAAGGAAACAAGATAGAAGCTACGGTGTCTTTTATCACCTAATCTCAGAAGTGTCTTTTGTCCTGGCGTTTGTCATATTTTATTGGACACACAGACCAACCCAAGCACAATGTGGGAGAGAACAATACAGCCTGTGAATGCCAGGAGGAAGGGATTATTGGAGGCCAGCTACCACAGTCATGGTTATAGAAATGATTTACTCATAATGTAGACGTGCAGAAGAGGCGTACATAGTCCACGGCATTTATAATGAAATATATTCTCAAAGAATAGAATGGCATAAGAACATTATTTCTTTAATGTTATTATTGTCACATTATTGATTCTGTTGGTTTAATATTACCAGAGTTTGCTAACATTTCAACAATTGGCATAGCATTTGTGAAGGACCATTTAGACAATTACAAAGCATTAATCAAAATGTCTACTGAATCAGTGAACATTAATTATTGACAGCACATTCCAGAGTATAGTTTATTTCAGAAGAGAAAAATTGCTTTGTTTCCTTATGACAGCAACCAAAAAAACTAAATTAAAATAAAATTGCCTATTCCTTTTACTCCAAGTTATTTCTCAAAACTTTTTTGGGTATGTTTTAGGCATCTTGAGAGTTCCGTCATTTGTTCACTCACATTAAAAAACAAATAGGGCCGGGTGCAGTGGCTCACATCTGTAATCCCAGCACTTTGGGAGGCCGAGATGGCAGGATCACCTGAGGTCAGGAGCTGGAGACCAGCCGGGCCAACATGGCAAAACCCCGACTCTACTATAAATACAAAAAAAAATTAGCCAGGCATGGTGGTGGGTGCCTGTAATCCCAACTACTTTGGAGGCTGAGGCAAGAGAATCATTTGAACCTGGGAAGTGGAGGTTGCAGTGAGCTGAGATCATGCCACTGCACTCCAGCATGGGCGATAGAGTGAGACTCTGTCTCAAAAAAAAAAAAAAAGACAAATAGAATACAGTGTTGTAGAAGATAAAGATTTGTATAGATTGAAACTTGAGATGATATGCCTGGACTATACTATCTAAGATAACTTCCGTGTTCTATCTCCGAACTCATGTTGCCACAAACCAAAATACTCTATTTCCTTGTCTGCTCTATAAAGCCATGTTTTGACAATGTCTTTCACCACTGATGTTATAATGCACAGTCTATTTTATTTTTTATAAAGAGATGGTAACCACTCTTCATGTGTTAGGGCCATCTAAAAATGCAGGCCACAGCATTTTAGATCTGGAAAGATCCTTGGAAATTTTTATGTTAAATGGGTTCCGCATTTTTGAAGAGCTGAGAAGTATTATACTCAGTGTGCTGCCTCCCCATGTTCTGTTTAGTCTTCAAAAATCTGATTAAAATTGAGAATCTGGTAAACCTAGTAGTACCATAAAGCAGTATTAAATCATTGATAAATATTCACTCTATGTAATCTCCAGAAAATACCAACACCACTTGCTATGCAATGGTTCCAAATAATTACAAGAAGATGTTAGGCAGGCTATGTCCTTTTGCTTCTCTGTAACTTTTTTCGTAAAAGTAAAAGTAAAAAATTTTTTTATGAGCAAAGTTAAAAGTAGGAGTCATTATAATTATAGCACAAGCATACCTACTCTCAGCCATCTTTACACTAAAGAGCTAATTTTGCTTAGAATCAGGGTGATCCTACAAAGTTTAATTCTAAAGTAAATAATTTTTCTTTTCATTTGGCTTGCAAAATAACAGTACATTGTATAGAACTAATCTTAACCAAGGATTACCTCACACATAATTCCTTTCTCTGACATTAGTCCCAGCTACTTTACTCAAGAATTATGATACTTAGCCAAGATTGGACCTGCCATCAGTGACTGAACTAAATTTTATTTCCTAAGTTTGATTTGCAGTGTTAATATTTTGTATTTTTCAAGTTCATTGATTGACTAGAATGTGCATATTTGTGACAGGATTAGTTCTTCATAAAACCTGATTGGTTATCACTCTGTGCTTTGTGATCTTTCCAATATTTTGAATTAATATTTTGAATCCTACATATTACCACTGAATTTTTTCATTTACTTTAATTCAAGGATTATCTTTGCTTTATTTTACAAGAAAGTAGCATCTGCTTTCCTTTTCCAAGTTTTTAGTAGTTTCTCAATTCTTTACCATTTCTCCACAAGGATTTCTATAAATTAATCCTTTAGGATACAGTTTTTCTTAGGGTGCACCTATGTGAACATATCAGTGTTTATTTAAATAAATTGTCTTATTTCATTGGTTCCTTTTCTAATTATTGCTTTACTATATTCTTTAGTAAAGGCAGTCCCAATTCTAACCTTTGAAACTCTGGCCTCTCGGGGTCACCTACTCTAAATTTTATTTTAACATTTAATAAAGAGCTTGTTTTAGTTCTCTGCAGTGCATAACAAACTATCCCCAAAACTTAGTGGTTTAAAACAATCATTTTATTATTTCTTAAAATTCTGGGGATTAACTGGGGCTCTGCCAGATGATTCTTCTGCTGGTTTCATGCGAGGTCTCTCATGCAGCTTCAGTCTGTGACAGAAGGGGCTAGAATGACCACAGTGACTTCATTGTGGACTCTTAATTGGAAGGCTGGGCTCAGCTGGGACACCAGGACAACTGAGCCTCTCTTTGTGCAATCTCTCAGCATGGTCTCTCCAGTAAGTTAGCTGTTATTTTACATAGCAACTCGGGAATTTTTTTTGGAAAGCAAAAGTCCTGGCTTAGTCCCAGAGCCACCTCTGCCACATTCTCTTTTGCATTTGAGAGATGTTACACAGGGCATGCGTACTGGAAGGCCATGTCGGGGGCCATCTCTGGAGACTAGCTACTACAGGAATCATGTTTTCCTTTTCTGCCACTAAGACCTCAATTCCTTTCTGCTCCTTTTTCAGTTCCCTGTGTCTCTGGTGGTTTGCCTAAACCTGCAAATATCACCTTCTTATCCATCAACATGAAGAATGTCCTACAATGGAATCCACCAGAGTGTCTTCAAAGAGTTAAAGTTACTTACACTGTGCAGTATTTCATGTAAGTTTCTTCTTTTCCTTTTGGCTAGCTTACAAACACAAGACTCCGACTCCTGTGAATTATGCAAAGATAAACTCTCTGCGGTATTAAATGTGTTTGAAAAAGAGAAAAGTTTTAGATATTTCAGGTTAAATTTTCTTGATGTTTTGTAAGATTAAATTAGAAAACAGTTTCTTCATGGAGACAGAGGCATTGGGAGGCTCAGGCAAGGTGAAGTTATTTAGACAGAAAAGAAGTTGGTCAAAACATGATTAGGTGGCTGAGCAAACAAGGCAGTCCATCATCTCTGAATTTTCTAAGCTGTTTGGAATTACAGGCATCCTTAGACTCCTTGAAACCACATGCACATTTTGTGCGATCAGCTGTTGCACTTAAAGATAGCAGTGAATAGACATTTCATCTGGCCCTCAAAACTCATTGCAAGCAGGAAAGAATGCAAAACAGGTAGTCAATGTCCATCTTCAGAGAAACAAAGGAAATGGCCACAACCCTAACCACAAACTAGGAACCATCCAAGCCAAATCCTGTGGTATCCGAAGAAAAACAGCTACAGAAACTGAAAGCAAACCTATACCTTCACACCTCCAATCACAGGAAATGATTTCACAAAATAAGTGTCACAGTACCAAGAGCCCACCTAACAATCTGAGAGCATGGAAATCTAAGGATCGCCACCACCAGAAATTAAGGAAATGTCCCCGTGGAGCCCCAGTTGGGTGCCACAGAATGTCACAGATGGAGGAGCTGAAATAGAAATCAGGCACACAGGACATGTCCATTGTGGAGGCCCTGTCACAGCCAAGGGAGAAGCTGGGAGTGAGCCAGGGCCAGGAGGAAAGGGAGGCAGCACTGGCTGGGAGGCAGCCCAGGAAGGCTACAACATCAGCCTCCTGCAGCCCCAAACCTGAGGGCAGGCAGGTTTCCCAGGGAGCAAAGGGAATAATAGATTTGGTGAGAGGGTGTTTGATGGAAACAGAAGTTTAAAATTATGGAGAGCATTGGCCGGATGCAGTGGCTCTCACCTGTAACCCCAGCACCTTAGGAGGCTGAAAATGGTGGATCCCATGAGCTCACAAGTTCGAAACTAACCTGGGCAACATGACAAAACCCCGTCTCTACAAAAAATATAAAAATCAGCCGGTCATGATGGTGCGTGCTTGTAGTCCCATCTACTTGGGAGGCTGGGGTGGCAGGACGGCTTGAGCTGGGAGGTGGAGGTTCCAGTGAGCTGAGATCATGCCACTGCTCTCCAGCCTAGGCAATAAAGCCAGGTCTTGTCTCAAACAAACAAACAAAAATTATGGAGAGCAAAAGCTCATTATCTGAGCCCTATTCTTATGTCCATTTGCCTGTTCAACAAACAGCTGGCCCCATTCAAACAGTAATAGTCCCACAGGAACTAGCATAGCACCTATTCATAATTACTGGAAGAAGGAAAGAGGAAAAAAGAATACAAGTTTCCAGAAAGCTTTGCTATGGAAGTAAGGAAGAATTAAAACACATAACAGTCCATAATTTTGTTAGAGTGCATAAACAACAGGATCTGTAAAGGTAAAACTCAAAGAAGAGAAAACAGTGAAAGAAGAGATTCAAAGACAACAGGAAGAACATGTCTTTTTAGGAAGTGTGCAGAGCTTAGGAAAATGCTGGAATATAAAAATACTATATCAAGATGAAAAACCTGTTAGAGCTAAGTGATAGTAATGATTGAACAGGTAATAAAGACTGTTTGGAACTGTGTGTCATAAATGTGTGGTATGTCTAGAAAAAAAATGGTAAAAACAATAGCAAGACACATCCTGGGGAAGTTATTGGACTTTAAGATAATTAAATGATTCACGGCCATTTTAGCAAAAGCAGAACTCAAGTTGGGAGAAAGGGAGAATTTCAATCTGGCAACAGTCAATAGAATACATTTTCTGAGGAAAAGACAAGTGTGACCTAAGACTCTTACTAAGGTCAGTAGACTGGTGTTTGGAAGCGGGTGGGAACCCAGGAGATCACTTTTCTGAGACCTTCCTGGGGGATGAGGTAGAGCACTAACTAAAGATGACCTCCAGCTAACAGAGAGATAAAGACAAACCCAAAAGAAGAACTTAGTGGTGACAAAAAAAGTCTAGTAGCATGCATTGAATTTATCTAAATATAGAACTAAGACTAAATAGTGATGGAAATGTAATTATAGAAGTTTCTTAGAAATAATCTGAATTTAAACAATAATATAAGATGGAAATGTGGGGGGACTATAAGTGTACTGATTTTCATAGCCAGAAGCCGTTAAATGTGATCTAAAATGACAATATTTTATTATTTTAATAATTAACCTCTCAATATTTTTCACAAACCATTTTCTTAATTTAAAAGCTCTTTTAGGAACAAATATCTCTTGTGGTGACAAACATTTGCACTTCTGCAGTTCCTTTAATTTCACGTCAATTTCTTTTTTCTATCAAAGTTCAAGGCACACTGAATTGACTACTTTTATTAAAACCATATGTATGGTATAATCTAATTTTTGTCCATCTATTCTGCTATCATATCGTCCTTCTGTTTATACAGAAGCAAAATGAGATATCCAGAATCATACACACCAAATGTTCCAGGGTAATGGGTTTTAGGATGATTTGTTTCTCTTTTGATTTTACTTTCTGAATTGTTTGATTGTTTGAATTTAAAAACATTACCATATTTTCAAAAAAGAATAAAGTCAGTTTTGTCTTTGAAAATAAAATTCATATCACTAAAACCAGTGAAAGACTTCAGCAGCGACTCACAGTGACCTCAAATCTAGAACCTCATTCTCATTTCCAAGGAGTTTCTCAGGAGCCAGTGTTAGAGGAAAGAAATTGCTTTGCAAAGGGAAAAGACTCACGAGCATGTCCTTGCCTCCTTATCCATTAGGTGGAGCAAAGAGCTTGCTCTGTCCTTTATGTTTTATGTGATTCAGAAAGGGATTTTTAAAAAATAGTCACTGCTGTATGTGAGCAGATCACTTAGATTGTGCAACTTTTAAAAATATGTGTTTAAAAGGAAGCTTGCCATGTTGGCGTTCTTACAAGCCTGTGCATGTGAAAGAGGGACAGGAATATAGGGCAGCATATTTCACTGCCAGAGGGCTCCAAGCTCAACTCTGGAGTCAGACGGTCCCCAGTTCATAGCCAGGCTATGAACCTAGCTGGGAAGGTTACAGATTATATGTTTATACTTTTGAGTGAAGTTTGTTTCCAAGATGAAACTTTAACAAAAGTTTAAATTCTATCCACCAAAACAATTAATGCAAAAAATAGAATGTAGCACTAAAAACAGAAGTTTTGGCATCAGGGAAGAATGGTTCAAATCCCAGGTATGCCTTTTACTAGTCATGTGAATTTGAGTGGATCCCTTAATCTTCCTGAGCCTCAGCTTCCTCATCTGTAAAACGGGATGAAAATAAGAGTACCTACCCCCTAGGGTTGTTATGATAATTCGATGAGATAAAGCTTATAAATCAGAGACCACTGAGGGCCCCACATGACTATTTGCCGTGTGTGTGTCATTACTGGAGTATTTGCTGAGTGATTCTGGTCATCATTCATTTATTTTGCTGAAAATCTTGTAAAGAGCCTTTTCTCCTGCATCAGCATTGTCATGGGAAGCTCCCTTGCCTTTGGCAGAGTGAGGAGGTTTGAGGAGGGAGGAGGGAGGGGTCGCGTAGGCAATGGCAATAGTCTTCAACCACAACTCAAGACTCTTTGATGATTCATGAAATGAATGCTGAGGGACATTATTTTTGATGGAAAGGAATGGAATGGTGTGGAATGGAGTGGAATGAAAAATAACTGCAAGGCCTGTGGTAAAGTTTAAATATTTTCTTGCACAATTTTTGTTTTAATATGTTAGTTTTATATTTTGTGAGCTGAATCAAAATGTAAAATGTATTTTTCCCCTGTGGATCATGGTCAAAAAAAAATTGAAAGCCCCTAAGTAACAGTGATCACTTGGATGGAGAAGTTGATCAGTAAGATCTGACTATATTTCTGATGTCTTTTGGTAGGTATGGTACTTAGGAAATGGGAAACACCTACTTTCAGAAATCTGTTGCCATATTCTGAAAAGAGAAAATATCCTTAAGCTTTGGCAATACATGGACATATCCTCTTTCTCAAGACACACTCTTCCCTTGACCTTTATGATAAGTTTTTTTCTCATCCCTCTTTAGTTGCTATTTCCAGGCCTTCTTTCTGTCCAGCCTTTAAATCTTGACGCTCCTGAAATTTTATCCTAGACTTTGTTTTGTCTCCGTGGATCATTCATTCATCCTTGTGCCTTCAATGAGCAGTTTGATGATATTGACTCCAAAATCCCTACCTTCCACTCACATGTCTCTCATGAGACCCATTGCCCGCTGGACATCTGCACTGGGATATCTGTTACATACTCAGGCTCAAGGCATTGAAAGTGAACGTGTTTTCTTTCCCTTCTGCTCTGCTTCCCCATCCATTTCCCAAATCTGCTCTGTCTCAGTGCTCTTTATCGTAGTAAATATCACCACCATTCCACCCATCTGCCCTAGACAGAAAGAGACGGCATCCTTAATACCTTCATTTCCCTAATCTGTCACATGTTTTCTATCACCAAGTCCTGTCTCCTGATATTTCTTGCTTTTGTCCTGTCCTTATTCATCCTACTGCCCCATCCTTGTCCAAGTGACCTACATCTTCCCCTGGACCACTGCAGTGTCCTCTCAGCTGCTCCCTAGGCTGCCACGTGTAATCCATCACCTTTCCCACGCTGCCTCCCCTGTCCCTTTCACTGGCTTATCACATGTTACCTGAACTCTACACTTCAGTCTCTCCCACCTGAAAAGGGCTAAAAATATTGCCACCTCCCTATTTGCTATGGGGGTTGTGTTTTTAATAAAGAAAAGAAAAATCAATATGACCAACCTAGTCAATATTATCATCCTCACTATAATTATCAAAAATGCAGATTTCTGTATGCACTCCAGCCTCATGTATTTTCCCTAGAATCATTGATGCTTAGATTTTTATATGCACTGAGAACGTCAAAGTAATTTTTTCTTCCAAGAAAAAAAATGACGAACTGTTCTTCAGACAATCCATCAAACTGACCTTGTATACACAGTAGACTAAAAACCTACATAAATAATTACTAGAAGAATTGATCACACAATATGTAAAAATTTCACTGTAGCCAAAGAATAACAATAAAATATATGCGTTCAAAATATACTATCCACATTATAATTCACAGAAAGAAAGGTGATTACAGAAACTCTGACTCATGTTCCTGACAGCTAATGAAAAAAATTGCCCACAGCAAAAGTGGATTCTTTTTTATCTCGATGACAGGCACCTTTGTTGTTCTGAAGAGAAGGTCGTCAGTTCCATTCAGTTTTATAAAATGACTACATTTTTTATTGTAAAGTATAGAGGGCACCTCATTATTAATTCAGCTTCTTTCTTAGCAGATATGGGCAAAAGAAATGGCTGAATAAATCAGAATGCAGAAATATCAATAGAACCTACTGTGATCTTTCTGCTGAAACTTCTGACTACGAACACCAGTATTATGCCAAAGTTAAGGCCATTTGGGGAACAAACTGTTCCAAATGGGCTGAAAGTGGACGGTTCTATCCTTTTTTAGAAAGTAAGTAATGCCATTATTGCAATGGTCAGTTAAACATGTATTAATATCAGGTTTAACAGTCTCAACCTCATAGACAGCCTTGCCCAGAGGAAGGTGCTCTGCTTGGCTCCATTCTGGACCACTGGATTGAGTGAGCAGTACAATGTCCTTAACCTTGCTGGCTCTGAGTCTCACCTTTATTGGTTGGTTGATTGATTGATTGATTGATTGACTGACTTTGGACACAGGGCCTCATTATGTTGCCAGGCTGGTCTCAAACTCCTGGGCTCATGCTATCTTCCCACCTCAGCTTCTCAAAGTGTTAGGGTTACAGGCATGGGCCACTACACCCAGCCTGAGTCTCATCTTTAGAGTGAAAAGTTTAGCCAAGTGGTCTCTAAGATCTCTACCAGATCCAAAATTGATACTAAATGACAATGATATTAAATTTTGACTTTGTCTTACTACTTAGTGGAAGCTACTTAGTGGAAGTTTGTTTGAGGAACAAAACGACTTTATTTAATGTGGGTTTATGGACTATTAATGTCTCCACAAGATTGATTAAAGATTGTCGTGATTATCCAACTATGCTTCTTCTTGTATGAACTTGGTAGTGTGATGATGTAATTTCCAAGTGTAACTCAGAATTAAGGCAACTTCTTCCTGGTATTTACTTTTATAATGTTGCCATCCCCTGACCTATGGCTGACTCAGTCATGAAGGACCCACTCAGGGCTGCCATAATGAGCTCTGCAAGCACTCTGTAAGTGCGGGAGCCCTTCCGGATCAGAGGCCAGAAAACTACTCTTGGGACAAATCCAGCAACCCCCTTTCTCTTTTTCTACAGGCGAAGAGTTAAGAATGGTATTTACATTTTTAAATAGTTTCTAAAAATCCAAGGAATATTTTGTGACATTGGAAAAGTAAAGGAAATTGAAATATTGATGTCTATTCATAAAGTTGTATTGGGACACAACCCACACTCATTTGTTTACATAGTTACCTTAGACTGCTTTTGTGTTACAACAAGAATGGAGTAGTGCAACAGAGATCATATGGCCTGCTGTGCCTGAAATACTTACTGTCCAGACCTTTAGGATAAAAGTCGCCTGGTCTCTGTTCTAGATCATTCTAATCACATCTCTGATTTTCCACTTATCAAATCATGTTGTCATTTATCACCAACTTTTCAAGTCACATAAATGTTACAAAGAGTTTTGATTGTATTAACCATCTACTGTTTATGCATGTGACTAAGGAAATAGAACACTTTAATTTGCTGTTCTAACATTGGATCAGGCTTGTGAAATGGTTTCAAGATTTGCATAACTCAGGCCCACCTTTGTACGTTTTGAGGCATCTCCTGTAAGAAGGTGTCTTTTAAGGCTGAGCGCGGTGGCTCACACCTGTAATCCCAACACTTTGGGAGGCCGAGGTGGACAGATCACAAGATCAGGAGTTCGAGACCAGCCTGGCCAACATGATGAAACCCCGTCTCTACTAAAAATATAAAAATTAGCTGGGCATGGTGGTGGGCACCTGTAATCCCAGCTACTTGGGAGACTGAGGCAGAAGCATCACTTGAACGCAGGAGGCGGAGGTTGCAGTGAGCCAAGATCGCACCATTGCACTCCAGCCTGGGTGATAGGGAAAGGACTCCATCTCAAAAAAAAAAAAGAAAGAAAGTATTTTAGAGCCTCGATCCGAGTAGGATTATATCGTAGCTTTATCTAAGGTAATTTTTCATCTGAACATAATACCCTCTTTCTTCCCACTTTAAGCACAAATTGGCCCACCAGAGGTGGCACTGACTACAGATGAGAAGTCCATTTCTGTTGTTCTAACAGCTCCAGAGAAGTGGAAGAGAAATCCAGAAGACCTTTCTGTTTCCATGCAACAAATATACTCCAATCTGAAGTATAATGTGTCTGTGTCGAATACTAAATCAAATAGAACGGTAAGCCTGAAATGGAATGGGGCATATGTTCATGAACCCCTCTGTAGCTAATGTGGGAACAAACAACCCTGATGCCTTGATTCTCTGCGTGTGAATCTGGGAAGTCATGATATTCAAAAGATAGGCTGCACAAAATACAGTTTAAACCTTTATACAGAAATTTTACAGAACTAACTTCAGATCTTCTTTACAGAAACTCTGTCGACAGGATATGGTGTTGTTATTGGAGTGTAGAGAGATTGTACACTTGACTTTGATGGAGAGCTTTCACTTGCACAGTCTTTCTCCAAGAAGAAAAAATAATGTGAGCAGGACCCAGGACAGTGAATAAGAACGCTATCCGTGTGTTGTTTAGAATCCTTCCTAGCATTGGTCCAGTTCCTGACCATGCTCTGCTGCGCTGAAGGAAAAGAGTATATTGAAACTGTTGCTGGAAAAAAAAAAACAGCTTATACTGATAGTAAAGGATTAAATGGTGGCTTGGACTTTTATTTCCTTCTAGAGTTATTTGTCTGGGGTGGTCCCAGAAATGTCTGGCTCTAACCAGTGTCTGCAATTCCCTATCCTAGTGGTCCCAGTGTGTGACCAACCACACGCTGGTGCTCACCTGGCTGGAGCCAAACACTCTTTACTGCATCCACGTGGAGTCCTTCGTCCCAGGGCCCCCTCGCCGTGCTCAGCCTTCTGAGAAGCAGTGTGCCAGGACTTTGAAAGGTAAGCTTTCAAAAATCTTTGCTAGTCGAGAAAGGAGATCTGCTAAAACTAGAAGTCGGTATGATGGTTTAGACAAAGTGTTGACATATCTGTGTCTAACAGAAACAGGTTGAGGCAAAGGCAGAAACAACTACCACCAGAAATGCATGGAGCAGCCTGAGGCTCTGCCACTGAGCTTGGCCAGTGTTCGGAAGTGTTCTCACCCCCTCGGAGAACTCAAACAGGTCCCGTGTCCACTGCCAGCAATCTTCCCATGGTCCCTCGTCCACCTGCCTTGTGAAATAACAATGAGGCACTTTTACACATGCCTTGTTTCTTCTTTAAAATCATAATCAGGCTGGGCATGGTGGCCCACACCTGAAATCTCAGCACTTTAGGAGGCCAAGGAGGAAGGATGGCTTGAACCCAGGAGTTTAAGACCAGCCTGGGCAACATAGTGAGATCTCATCTCTACAAAAAATAAAGTCAACTAGGCATGGTAGTGCATGCCTGTAGTCCTAGCTACTCAGGAGGCTGAGGTGGGAGGATCACCTGAGCCCAGGAGAGGCTGCAGCGAGCCATGGGTGCACCACTGCACTCCAGCTTGGGCAACAGAGTGAGATCTTGTCTCAAAAAATAAAAAATAAAAAATAACCACTCTGATCAATAGAAGTTCTGTGGTCTTCAAGAACATCAGATAATTTTATTGCTAGAAACAAAGTGTTATTCTGAAACCACTGTAAAGGAGAATGTATTTTTTACTTTCCCTGGGGAATACTAATTATAGGTGCTTCCAGTTGTGTTCAAGTGCCACTAATTGTCTGAGTGAGGGTCTGGGATCGCAAATCAGTGATCACTTCCTTGTCCTTACAGTTGCTTCTCTCTGTTTCCTTTTATTTATCTCCTGCTCACATTTTCTACACTGGGCTGCCAGGAAACCGTGGTTAGAGATACCCGTTCCTATGTGGAGACATAGAGTTGTGAGCTTGGCATTCGTTTAATTTTTCCGCCTTCAGAGTGAGAGGAACTTGAACTCAAAACTTGAAAATTCAAAGAAAAATAAATCCTAAAGTTTGCCTGCATCGAAGGACTCATCATCCATTATTCCTCCACTTCTTTTCCAAACAGCTGGGCTAGACACAGAAGCCCATGACCTCCACCCCACACCTTGGCTGTATCACCAGCCATGAATAGGAATCCATAACCCCTGCTTTCCTCTTCCCTCACTCCTCCCACCTTTCACGATGAAACTGTCCCAGAGTAAAGAAAGGGAACTTTGTGAGTACATATGAAAAGTGCAAGGCTTTACCCTTGACTCTGTCTTTATCATAGTTTATCATAGCTTTTCTTTTACAATGAAGGAGTCTCTACCATATATCAAATGAAACTAAAATGCCAAGCAAAACAAAGCCTATTGAAGAAATCATAATTGTATTTGGGAGAAGTGCTCTCTTTACTAACACCTTGATCAGTGCCAGCTGCTGGGAATGAATTTCCAGTAGAAATCATTAACACAATTGGAGCAAAAGCAATAAAATGCAGATTGAATTCAAAACTTCTCGGTAAGAAGATGAAGCTCACTTTCTCACTAATATGAAAAAAGTGGCCAAGTGCAGTGGTTCACGCCTATAATACCAGCACTTTGGGAGGCCGAGGCAGGAGGATTACTTGAGCCCAGGAGTTCGAGACCAGTCTGGGCAACATGGTGAAACCCCATCTCTACTAAAAATACAAAAATTAGCCAGGCATGGTGGCACACACCTTTAGTCCAAGCTACTTGGGAAGCTGAGATGGGAGGATCACTTGGGGAAGTGGAGGCTACAGTGAGCTGTGATTGTGCCACTGCACTCCAGCCTGGGCAACAGAGTGAAACCCTGTCTCAAAAAGAAAAAAAAAGAAAAATTAACGGAATAACTAGGCTCTATTTCTGGTTCTGAACCCCTGCTATCCCAGCTGTTAGATCACCAGAGATATCTTTCGAACACACTGGTGTGAGGACCTGCTTTCTGAATAATCAGTATTACCTCTATTGGAACTATTTTTTAAAACATATTTCTGCTCTCTAGTCCCCCATCTCTAAAATACAGATACAGTTTATTAGGTTTGTTGTAGTAAACATGGATTAGTGTATACTAAATGCTGTCAGTCATTGTTATGACTCTTTTCAATTAGGACAGGCTCAATCCAGGGACCAGGGATTGTATTAAGAGGGTTGGACTGAGTTATAGGCTGCAAGCAGGGCAGGTGGAGTTCTGACACCCGCAGCATCGGCACTGCAGCACTGGCACGTCTCTGTGCGGAAGCTGGTGGTGAATGTGCTCCTTGGGAATTATGCAGGGTAACAGGCCCACATGCGGGACTTCTCCCACCGGCTCTTGTTGACCACCCTCATCAGCCATGACACATCTGTTTCCAGGCTTTCAACTGGACAGTTAACCAGGTAGTGACTTTGCTGCTTTCTCTTGGGCCCAAGCATCAAGAGCATCCAACATTCTCCTGGATTAGAATGCTCCGGTCACACTGCTGCTGGTTTTGTTAGTGTGTAGGGAGCACACTCGGACTTTTGTCATTTGTGCTGAAGCTGCTCTTTTTCCTACAGCTGTATCAGTCAGGATTCTCCAGAGAAACAGAACCAATAGAATACATATAGATGCATATATCGATATATTTATTTGTTTAGAAATATTGATTTATTTTAAGGCATTGACTCACACGATTGTGGAGGCTGGCAAGTCCGAATTTGTAGCATAGGCAGGCTGGAGACCCACGGAAGAGTTGATGTTTGCAGTTCGCACCCAAAGGTAGTCTGCTGGCAGAATTCCCTGTTCCTTTGGGTCGTCAAGACATTTTTTATTAAAGTCTTCAGTTGATTGGATGAGGCCCACCCACATTATAGATGGTAATCTGCTTTACTCAAAAACCTACTGATTGAAATGTTAGTCTCCCAAAAATAAAAAAAGAGTAAAAAAAAATAAACCTTCACAGAAAGCTCTAGAATAATGTTTAGCCAAATATCTGAGTACTGTGGCCTAGCCAACTAGACATGTAAAATATACCATCACAACTTCCAAGTGTACCACAGTGGCTTAACAAGTATGAGTTAGTCACAATGAGCTCTAGTCATCAGCTATATGGCCTGATCAATGGTGTGGGCCAGCACTTTTATTAAAACTTTTATTAAAACAATTTCCCAGGTATTGTCATTCCTCTGCAGACTTTTACTCATCATGAGCCTACAGCACAGCAGGCCCAGGAAGGGAGTTAACTGCCATTCTCACTGTACCCTGTCCAGTCACCTCCCTAGACACATCCCCAGGCTCCAGCCCTACCCAGAAAGTCCAGTCAAGCAGTGCAAGAACGGTTCTGCTACTCACATAAAAGGTGGCACCATGCATTCATGTCCTTCAGTGAACATGCAGAAAGATTGAGTCAAACATGTGGCGTGGAAAAGTGGAGCAATTCAATGGGATCTTCACTGGAGGGTTTTGTTGTTTGTTCGAAGTTCTGTGAGTCACTTGAATATCAAATACACTTACTTTCAAATATAGAAACCTGCATGAATCTCATAGCCAGATATATGATGGTGGAATATGTGCTGACTTGGATGATTGATGTATTCTTAAACATTTGAGGTGTGTTCAGATGATTCCTTCAGACCATCTCTTGTCAGGGAGAGTAAGAATTCTGAGACCGCTTATAACATTTAGCTTAAGCTTCTCAACGTAGAGGTGAGAAAACTGAGTTCCCAAATGCAAGTGATCTGCCCAGAAGCCACTTAACGATGTCAGTTTTTCCCATCACATCAAATCACAACTATCTAATCCCTTCCCCCTACTTCCCACCTTTTTTTTTTTTTTTTAACAGATCAATCATCAGAGTTCAAAGCTAAAGTCATCTTCTGGTATGTTCTGCCTGTATCCGTTACTGTGTTTCTTTTTTCTGTGATGGGCTATTCCATCTATCGATATATCCACGTCGGCAAAGAGAAACACCCAGCAAATTTGGTGAGTGCTTAGTGTGGCAGGGATCTTTATTATCATAGTACACCTCCAGGAGGACAGAAGAGGAGGTACTAGAGCAGATTGAGTTCCCTTTAAGGGCAGAGTGAAATTAAAGTTAAATAGCTGGTGAATTAAAAAACACGGTCTGGGCTGGGCATGGTGGCTCATGCCTGTAATCCCAACACTATGGGAGGCTGAGGCAGTTGGATCACTTGAGGTTAGGAGTTCAAGACCAGCCTGGTCAACAGCATGAAACCCCATCTCTACTAAAAATGCAAAAATTAGCTAGGTGTGGTGGTGCGTGACTGTAATCCCAGCTACTCGGGAGGCTGAGACAGGAGAGTCACTTGAACCTGGGAGGCCAAGATTGCGGTGAGGCAAGAGTGCGCCACTGCACTCCAGCCTGAGTGACAATGAGACTGTCTCAAAAAAAAAAAAAAAAAACCTGCTTTCTGGATTAGCTCACTTACAGAATCTTTTTCCTTAGCTTTGAAAAGATTTTCTATTTAATGACCAAATTTTACAAGGTCCCATAGATAAGTTCAGTCATGATCCCTGCCCTGCCCTTCTAGAAGTTCAAGCCCAGTTGGGGACTAGAATTTCAAAATAATACGTGAAGGCTAAGATGAGAGCAGGCACTGGGAACTCGGGGGGTACAAGGAGAGCCCTGAAACCCTACGCAGGGACTCAGCTCTCATGCCAGGGCTTGGCTATGAGAGGTGAGTAGGAGTTAGGATCCGTAGTGCAGGCAGAAGAAACAGCAAGGTGGATGTGTGGAAACTGCATGACATTCGTAAACCAGGAGGCTCCAGATGAGGAGCTAGAGAAGACGACGAGACTGGAGAGTGGGCGGTGGGTCCAAGTAAGGGGAGAACTGAGGTGCTGTTCTAAGGAGCTCAGCCTCATTCTACCGGCAAAGAGAAATCTCCATAGGGTTTTAGGTTAGGAGCATCATAGTCAGTATCAAGGTTTAGATCCAACCAGATATTAGTTCCAGGACAACTTGGAGCCGAGTAAGACTAGAAATAAGAAAAGCACCTAGGGAACTAGCTTTGTCCAGGGGAGAGAAGATTCAAGTCTAACAAGCCAGAGTGGGATATCAGGTTAGAGAGAAAGACGTGGAATGGAAACACACTTAGGAGGAACGTGGCCAGGACTTAATCCTTCACAGTAAGAAGCAGCAAGAAAGAAGAAAGAATTAAACCCACAGAGGTGGGACCATGTGCTGAAGGGTTCTGAAGGGCTGAGCATATTTTTAACAATCAGAACCATTTTCTTGGAAACTATTAAAAGATGTGTTCCCATGTACATGATAACATAACTTGGTTCCTGTTAGTTCCGTTTATAAGTTTTCCTATGATTCTACCTGCCTTCAGGTTTCAGAGTTGGCTTCCTAATGGCATTGGGAGACCCTTTCTGGAAGGAACATTCACAGGAGAATTGACCACCTGTGATTTTTTAGAAACTTAAAATGTTGTAAAAGAATGAGGCTGAAGGTTCTGTTTTGTAAAGTTAAGTGAAATCACATGGTAGAGTGACAATGAGGATTGTAACTCATGCTCTCTTAGAAAACAGGTATCTTTCACGGTACCCACAGCAATAATTTAATCTCGTCTGAGCTTCCCTGACATGATTTGGAGTTTCTCTGTCTACCATAAACTGGCAGATGAGTTTCCTTTTTTGGCCCTATTATAGCATGATAAGAATGGTATAAGGGGTAAAAACCATCCCTGCTCATATATTTCCCTCCCTTTCTACATCCAGTTCTCATGCCTGTCCGCATTTCAAATATATCCAAAAACAGAGCAGGTCACCCAGGTAACCACAGCTTATTAACAAGTACATAGCAAACTATAAATAAAACAATGTCACAAACTCTGCCACATTCAGTCTTTGCTACTCTTCATGTGGCTAAGATTCTGACTTGACAGAATGTGAAAAAGGTCAAGAAATGAAGAACTCCCCTGCCGGTTACAAGAGGCGGCACCAACGCCCCAGCCCCAGCCCTGGACTGGAGAAATACGCACCCAGTGAACCACTTCTCACTTCCATGTATCTTCTGTGTGTCTTGGGTCTCTTGCCTGCCAGTGAGTGAGGTTTTCTGTATATTGCAAGCATAACTTTCATTTACATGAGTTGGTAAGAGTAGGTCGTAGGTCTTTAAAACTATCTGGTGACAAGATATTCTACCTAACAGCTGTTTCTAATGTCTCTCTAAAGTGAAAAGGTGAAAACCATTCTCTTTTCTCGTTATAGATTTTGATTTATGGAAATGAATTTGACAAAAGATTCTTTGTGCCTGCTGAAAAAATCGTGATTAACTTTATCACCCTCAATATCTCGGATGATTCTAAAATTTCTCATCAGGATATGAGTTTACTGGGAAAAAGCAGTGATGTATCCAGCCTTAATGATCCTCAGCCCAGGGGGAACCTGAAGCCCCCTCAGGAGGAAGAGGAGGTGAAACATTTAGGGTACGCTTCGCATTTGATGGAAATTTTTTGTGATTCTGAAGAAAACGCAGAAGGTACTTCCCTCACCCAGCAAGAGTCCCTCAGCAGAACAATACCGCCAGATAAAACAGTCATTGAATATGAATATGATGTCAGAACCACTGACATTGGTGCAGGGCCTGAAGAGCAGGAGCTCAGGTTGCAGGAGGAGGTGTCCACACAAGGAACATTATTGGAGTCACAGGCAGCGTTGGCACTCTTGGGCCCACAAACGTTACAGTACTCATACACCCCTCAGCTCCAAGACTTAGACCCCCTGACGCGGGAGCACACAGACTCAGAGGAGGGGCCAGAGGAAGAGCCATTGACGACCCTGGTCGACTGGGACCCCCAAACTGGCAGGCTGTGTATTCCTTCGCTGTCCAGCTTCGACCAGGATTCAGAGGGCTGCGAGCCTTCTGAGGGGGATGGACTCGGAGAGGAGGGTCTTCTGTCTAGGCTCTATGAGGAGCCGGCTCCAGACAGGCCACCAGGAGAAAATGAAACCTATCTCATGCAATTCATGGAGGAATGGGGGTTATATGTGCAGATGGAAAACTGATGCCAACACTTCCTTTTGCCAGACCCCTACTGTGCAGACAAGTGATTCACCCCTTTGATCCCAGCCATAAAGTACCTGGGATAAAAGAAGTTTTTTCCAGTTTGTCAGTGTCTGTGAGAATTACTTATTTCTTTTCTCTATTCTCATAGCACGGGTCTGATTGGTTCATGCACACAGGTCTCTTAACGATGGTGGTGGGTGCCTAGAGTGCAGGGGCTGGCCGGTGGTTCTATGCAGAGAAAGCAGTCAATAAATGTTTGCCAGACTGGGTGCAGAATTTATTCACGTGGGTATACTCTGGCCTCTTTGTTCATTATTTTCAAACAAGCACACTTGTACAGTTATTTTCTGAGTACTTCCCATGTGTACATAGCACTGTAAAAAATATTTTCCAAAGATCATTCATTTTATAAATAACACTTTTTCAGATTGGGTTTATTGCAAGCAGGAGGAGATACTTAAAACATGCACATATACCAGGTTGGTGGTAAGTTGGTCACATCTGAAAACCTCAACTATTTAATCATCATGATTCATATTTTGAGTGAATACATCAGGCACAGACCTTCATGATGTCACACACTCTTGGCTACTTTAAGAGGCCATCTTTAACACTTCATGAGTAGTTCTGGAGTATAAACATAAATGAGTATTCTTTGTAGTCAGAAAAGTGTCCTCTCAATAATTTAGTAGGGGCTTATTGTAAAGCACTGTGTTACTATTATAATATTAAACATTAGAGTAGGCAGTGGTTCAAAGACTCTTTGGAATGTCTATGAATGAATATCCTCTATTCTTATAATATTAAAACCCATAAGTAAATATAGGACATGCAAGAGAAATAAGTTAAATGACTATGTAAGGGAGCGTTTATTAAAATTTGACAAAATTTACTGTGGGAACTAAACTATGCCATAAAACAATAGCTTTCTAGCTCAATTCCAACAACTGTTCCCATCTCCTTTACCACTTGTTAAGAAAATTAAATTCTTCAGTCACACTGCTTTGAAATGGACAAAATCTATTAAGTTGAACCCTATATAATTGTTGATATTTTGCTTTTAATCTGACAAGCAGTAACTTCATATGGTTTGCCTTAATATATATTTGTTTTAATCATGAACTCATAATCCACTGATGCTCTTTCAAGAAAACAGATATCACCCATATTTCCTTATTGATATTTTTGGTACAGGCAGACAACCCTGGTAGGAGAGATGGATTCTGGGGTCATGACCTTTTGTGATTGCCCACAAATGCAAACAGTTTCAGATCTAATGGTTTAATTTAGAGAGTAATTATATTAAGCAGAGTGTTCTGTTATTCTCAATCTTTATGGAAACGATTCTGCTGGTTTTGAAGAACAGATGTATTACACTAACTGTAAAAGTAGTTCAAGAGTGAGAATGAATTGTTATTAAGAGCAAAAGAAAAATAAAGTGATTGATGATAGTTCTGCTTATTAATTCCATTCACAAAATATTTTCTAAGCACCTAATATGTCCTTCAGTGTCCTCATCTGTGCAATAGAAATAAGAGCTGCCTTAGGGCTGTTTTGAGGATGAAGAGAGTTGGACTATAGAAGGTATTTAGACCTGTGCTGGGCACATAGTGAGTGCTCCCTAAGTGTCTGCCATCATCATCATTAACTGCCAGGTCCCATTACTAACTGCCAGAAAGAAACGCCATTTAGACATACAACTATAGTGATTCAAAGGCAGACCTTGTCTAACTCTGTTTTTCTTACCGGAGAGTAAATAGTAATTTGTTTCCTACTTTGTGCCCTCAGATTGAAATCCTTCAGTGGTTCAGCCACATTATCTGGCTTTGTAAAAGGGGAATGTAATTCTGAGTTGCTTTTACATCTCTTGTTATTCCAAGCATGTCAGAAATATTGAGCGTTCTCTAATTTTGCTGCTTCAGTTCTTTGCAACATATGTATATATTGAATCTATATAGATATACACACACATTCAAACATGAGCATACAGTATATATTTCTCATGGGGGTGGTGACATCTTCTTAGATGCGGTATATCTGTGTGGGAGGCAGCTGTCATGCGTCCTGTTCCTTCTGTGGCCAGGCCTCACCATCTCCAAGAAGCCACCCTCTGGTCTGCTTCAGATTCCATCTCTATGCCTGAGGTTCAGGCGGAGCTGAGAAGTTGAAGTTTCAGAGTCCGACAAGTACAGTTGGCCCTCTGTATCTATGGGTTCAGCATCCATGGATTCAACCAATAGCAAATCAAACATTCATTAAAAAAGAAATCCACAAAATTCCAAAAAGTGAACATTGAATTTGCATCACACTGAGTGCTACATTGAATGCACTTAAATGAAGTGATGTCTAGGCCTGTTGGGCATTACAAGCAATCTAGAGATGATGGAAAGTATACGGGAGAATGTGTGTGGGTTATCTACACCATTTTTTACCATGAAGTTGAGCATCTGTGGATTTTTGGTATCCTCGGGGTTCCTGGAACCAATCCCCAACGAATACCAAGGGGAAGCTATACTGTTCATCCTATCCCTGGTTATTCCCAGGATTTTATATACCACTTGCACATTAGTTAAGTTTTCCTTATCTAATAGAAATAAAAAACATCTATTAGCAGCTCCATTTCCACACCCCATCAATCCTAAACAACTGGTGAACGAAAATACCACCGCTACAAAGTGAGTGAAACGTAGCGCCACATCTTCCTCTCAAGAAGGAAGTGAGGGAAGTGAACTTGTCACTGGAGCCCATAACATGGGAAAGATCTGGTGCCCCCTGCCCCCATGCTGAGCCCAACTGGAAGGAAGTCAGTGCAGAGAAAAACTATTTGTACAGCCCAGAACACAAGACTGCCAGCTTGGTAAATCTAATGAGAACATTAAACAGAGGATTGGTTGTCATGGATGGGTACCCCTGGGTCATTAATCAAGTTATTTCTGGCCCACACATTACCACCCCCACATCTTGCAGATTAATTTTTGCTAAATTATCTTAGAAGAACATTATTTCCTTTTTAATTCCCCTCATTATATCTTCCATAAACCTTCTATCTACAGATATTTTTCAAAGATTTTGCTCAAAAGCATGTACCCATAATTTTAAAAATAAATAGTGCTGTGGTTATGGATATTTTAATAATAGCTTTTATTTTTATTATAGAAGACATATATTACGATATATGTACACATACTCATTGTAGAATAACTAGAAATAAATGGGGGAAGAAAGAAAAATTACCCGTAATACTCTCACCCAGATTTAACCACCATAAACATATTTGAATAGAGAAATGATTCTCAACTGAAGGAAGTTTTGTCCCCAAACTTTGGGGCAAGGCCAGGAATAAATACTGCTAAACATCCTACCATAACAAAGTGTTATCCAGCCCAAAATGCCAATAGTGCCTCACTTCATAAACCTTGGTGCAGGACTTTCTGGACATTTTCATTGCATGTATGCAAATATTTTTGCCAAAAGTGGGGATTAGATTGGATTAGTTTATAACTTGTTCCTTTCACTTAAAGATATGTAACTATCTGATTTTAACTACAGATTAAGTTTATAATGCACCAACCTTATTCAAGCTAGAACATTTGAAACAACAGATTGGGAATTATTTTTTCCAAACATAATGCTTTAAAACAGTTTTAGACCAGGCATGGTGGCTTCCGCCTGTAATCCCGACACTTTGGGAGACTGAGGTGGGCGGATCACTTGAGGTCAGGAGTTTGAGGTCAGCCTGGCCAACATGGTGAAACCCCGTCTGTACTAAAAATACAAAAATTAGCCAGGCGTGGTGGCATGTACCTAGAATCCCAGCTACTCAGGAGGCTGAGGCGGGAGAATCACTTGAACCTAGGAGGCAGAGGTTTCAGTGAGCCAAGATGGCACCACTGCACTCCAGCTGGGGCAACAGAGCAAGACTCCATCTCAAATAAAATAAAATAAAAATGAAAATAAAATAGATTTAGCCAAGCAGCAACCAGAAATACTGTTAAGTCCTTTAAGGATAGCTGAACCTCTCAAAAACACTATTTCCTGAAAATTACTACCTCTCCAAACTGGCTGGATGACTATTCTGGTCATGTATCGTCCCTTATTGGAGTTAGACTCTCTGTGCTTAGTTCCTACTACCACTTCTCCCAAGCCTTGGGTCCTCAGTGACATGTGCTTGAAGGCAGCCTTGGCCATGCAGGCCATTACTTTGACCATCTCAGCAGGACTGATGTTCCTCCAGCCTCCTTGGCCTGTTTGGTGGCTGCAAAACTTCAGTCCTACTAGTTTTAATCTTTAATAAATTTTCCCCTTGGTTTTCACTTCTAGTTTTCATGCCAGTGAGTTTAGGTTCTTTCAGCATCGCTACATGCAAGACTCCCTTGAGGGAGGGGATGAGGGCTGCTGTGTGAGGCTGTTTGACAGTGCTTTCTGTTGTGCTTTCTGTTGTCCTTGTGTTGATGGGTGGAGGCTCCTTCTGTCCCAAGGAACTGAAGCTCGGGCTCTTTGCTACAACTGGAAGCAGATGAGGCATTTTCTCCCTTACTCTCCCCAACAGATCTCTTTAGATTTCTCAATCTGTCATTTTCTGGATTAGGTGGTATTCGGAGACTTTCCACCAACTCAGAAGATAGACATATGGCTCATGTTTATGTTTTCATGCACAGGCCACTGAGACAGATGAGCACTGATGGGGATAAACACCATTGGTCATTTGCCTGTCCCTGGAACTCATTTTGAGGGGCATATGAATTAGATACTGCTCTTAAAGGTCTCATACAGTTAAAATTATTTACATATTATTCTTTCTTCTCAGGCAAGTGCATTCTTTCCCATTCTGAAATTGATTTGAAATGCAAAAACATCAGGATATTTGATATGAGAGGAAAATTTAAAAATGACAGAGATTTTAACCCCAAGCCCCCAAAAAGGAGATGTGACGTATTGGATCGCTATTAAATTTGTTGACTTTTTGCTTTAAAAAGAATTTGCCAGCATTTGATTAACAAAGGATATATGGACAAATGGAAACACACCTTAGAACTTTTCAAATTGACTGATTGAGGGATTGATAAGCCAAAGAAGAATCAGTATGGTGTATTGATTGCAAGGATAGACTCTTGAAGCCGAGATGCTTGGTGTCTGTAGCTTTCTAGGTTTGTCACCTCAGGCAACTTAACCTCTTTGGTCTAAATTCCCTCATCAGCGAAATGAGGATAATAATTTTACATACCTCAGAGGGCTGCAGGAGATTTAAATGAATCAATATATTTGAAGCGCTTAAAAACAGTGCCTGACACAAAATAAGTGCTCAGTAAATAAAACAATAAAAACAGCACATATAAGAATGTTCATAGAAGCATCATTCATTTATTTAATATGCAAAAGAACACAAAGGCTTGGCATAAGGAAGCTTTGAAAATGAACTACAATTTCACATGGTAACATGAATGAATCTCACATACATAATATTGAACAAAAATATTGATTTCTAAAAGAACACAAACAGCATAATTCCACTTCTATAAAATATACAAACATAGAAAACTAAACACTATATTGTTTAGGGATACATATATTTGTGGTAAGACAAGGAAATGACTAAAAGTTTGAGATTGTGGTTCCCACTTGGGAACCAAGGACAGAGGTCACATTGGAATTGGTAATGGTCTCCTTAAATGGTGGTGAAAACAAGAGTTTTCCTTTGGTTATTCCTCTTTAGACTTAGCATGTATAGTATACATGCCCTAATGTGTGTATATTTAATTAAGCAAAGCAACAATGGAATCCCAAAGCCCCTGAATTTTAGTGTCATACTCATGGGTTCCATAATCAGTATTAGCTTTGTGATGTTGGTCAAGGCATTTGAAATTATGAGAGCTGTCATACATTTTCCCTTGCAATTCAGAAACAAGTATATTAGTGGTCATATTCTGTTTATAAAAACTCTTAGTTTGCAAACTTTTTACTAAGTCTAAAATTCTGAACAGGAAAGAGCCATTGACAGATTAGGTTCTATGCAGAAGGGCATGAGCTTAAAACCTTAGCTTTACTGAGATCTGTCATTCAAAATAAACAAATACCTGAACCCTGGTAGGAAATGAGGAGGACACATGATCACACAAACTTCTGAAATGCAAGCACCTTTTTCTTACTCACAGGTAATAATGCATTAATAAGTAATAAGATCTCAGGCAGGCAAACAGGCTGTCCCACTGATAAAAATTATATAGTGTAAACAAATCCCTTTTTTAAGAAGCAGTTAATAGTTTATCTCTGTTAGCTGATTTCAGCATGCAGGGAAAAAGGGCTAGGATTTCTCAAACGCTCTGCCTTTACAGTTCAGCTGATTGTTCCTTTCTGTAATAGTTTGCCTTGGTTACAATCGCTTAGTGATCATTAGCAAATAAAATGTGTTTGCTTTTCCTAAGGTCCATGTTTCCTGCCAGCTTGTAGCCAC